ACATGGTTATTCCAGCTTGCGGGACTGGCCTAGGGGAAACTTTTAGAGGGGTTTTAATTATATTTTAATTAGATTAAATTTAAATATTTCCTTTTTAACTAATTTTTAAATTTGTAATGTTATTTGTGTATTTTTACCCGATTGTTAGCCGCCCTGAGTCCGCAAGGAGAAGGGCGGGATATAAATTTAATAAAATAAAAATAAAATAAAATAAATAACAACTGAGGCAAAAAATCTCATAAAACCAGGCACCACTATCTTTTAACAACTGATTTGGTCAGCAATGGAGATTTTGGCGCTCAGTTGTGGTCGTACATCCGAGGACTACCCGTCCAGCTTTATTTGATTAGGACAAAAAGAATTTTTTCTTCAATCGCACCTTGTTTCCGACAGCAATCAAACCTCCAAAGGATCATTTCTTTTTCACCTTACCTCTCTAGTCAAGCCAGTTTCCCCCACCCATCCCGGTCTTCTTAAATTTTCTGGGGTAGACTGCTCTTGAGCCTGGAGGCTCCATTTGGATGCAAAGGTCACATTAGCATTTCTGGACGGCATCCACAGGACTCACCCCGTTTGAACACAGGCGGAGGCCGAGGCCGCAGGGGATGAGGTTGGCTTTCGGTCGGGGCTCTGGACATGTGGGATTCGATCCCGTGCAGAGGCTTCCCAAGGCACATTCGCTCTCCTCCTGGCACCGTTGTCCCAGAGGTTTAAGGGCACAATTCTGCTCACAACAGAGTCCTTGACTGGGGCTGTAAAAGAAAGAAGCTGAAATGTTAAGAGACGGCCTCTAGAGACAACTGGACGTCTTACGCAGGTAGTCCTCGACTTACGACCGCAATTGAGCCCATTTCCGCTGCTAAGCAAGGCAGTTGTTAAGTGAGCTTTGCCCCACAGTTGTTTCTTCTCACAGTTGTTAAGAATGTTTTTGCTACGAGGACGTTCTTGTGGGAAGAATCCAGAGAAGGAAATATTTTGGGAAATATTAAAAAGGCAGATTATATTTCCCCAAAGGATCTTAAAGGCAGAAACCAACCCCCCCCCCCCAAGTCTCTCTGCCCCAAACAGAAACCAGGTCTGCAGAAATGCAGAGGTGATAATCTTGTCAGAAAGATTGGAGCCAGGAAGCTGGGATTAGAAAGATAAAGATCCCTAGAATCAACAATCCCTCACACCAAAAAAAAAAAAAAAATCCAACACAGGCCATAGCCATCAACCACGGTCTCAGGGAAGCAGGATATGACCTTTGGGACATAATAGGATTAACCCACCACCATCAGAATATCAGAAAAGCACACTCAGACTCAGGTCAAAGTTCCTGCCACAGGAACAACTCCAAACAAAAGCCCAAGAAGGTATAAAAACCCACCACTCCCTACTAAACATGGTCAGTTTTATTTCCCAGAGCCATCTTTCTGTCTGGCTCTGCTCTTCAATAAACTGCAACCTTCTTTCTAAAGCAGCCTCCATGTTGTTTATTCCCAGCTTGGACTGGACCCCGATGAAGATTTTTTCTTTCAACATTATTCTCTTGCCCCACCCCCCACCCCAAGGATCGTTATCAACTGAGGCACTGACTCAGAAGGGGGCCGCCCACTTTACCAATATGTGATGCTTCTCTCTTTAAAGGGGATCGTAGAAAGGGATCTAAGACTGTGAGTTCAAGTTCCACCTTAGCCATGAAAACCAGCTGGGGGACTCCAGACCAGGTGTAGGCAGCCTTGGCTCTTTTATGACTCGTGGACTTCAACTCCCAGAATTCCTGAGCCAGCCATGCTGAGGGGAAAGGGAGAGGTTTCCAAGCTGAGCCATGCTGGCTCAGGAATTCTGGGAGTTGAAGTCCACGAGTCATAAAAGAGCCAAGGTTGCCTACCCCTGCTCTAGACCAATCACCAGGAGATGGTGAGTTCTAATCCTACCTTAGGCACAAAAGCTGGCTGGGTGGCTTTCAACCAATAACCAGGAGACTCTGAGTTCTAGTCCTAACTTAGGCACGGAGGTTGCCTGGGTGACATAGAACCAATCACTAGGAGATGGTGAGTTCTAGTCCCGCCTTAGACATGAAAGCTGGCTAGGCAATTCGGGCCAATTAATGGGAGACGGTGAGTTCTAGTCGTGCCTTAGGCATGAAAGCTGGCTAGGCAATTCGGGCCAATTAACGGACGGCGGTGAGTTCTAGTCCCGCCTTAGGCATGAAAGCTGGCTAAACAGTTTGGGCCAATCGCCAGGAGATGGTGAGTTCTAGTCCTAACTTAGGCATGAAAGGCATCTGGGTGACTCTGAGCTGGTCCCCCATTCTCTGTCTGCCCAATCCACCTCACAGGGCTGTTGGGAAAACAGGAGGAGGAAGAAGTACTAGGTATGTTCACTGCCTTTGGTTATTCATAAAAATAAAGCCAGGATGTAGGAGCCATCCTGGCCCAGAGGTTAGAATGCAGTATTGCAGGCAAACTCTGCCCACAGTCTGGAGTTCAATCCTGACTGGCTCAAGGTTGACTCAGCCTTCTATCCTTCTGAAGTCGCTAAAATGAGGATCCAGATTGTTGGGGGGCTGGTATGCTGACTCTAAACCACTTAGAAAGGGCTGCAAAACACTATGGAGCAGTATATAAGACTAAGGGCTATTGCTTAGTTGCAATAATTTAATATTAAATACATTTAATAACATTAATTTAATATTGG